AATATTAGGATTTTGCTATTTTTGGCAAAATTCCGATTATTATTATTTTCTGGCTATTTAACCCGGCTTGTGGGTTATTTTCATTCAGTTGTTGAATAATAAAGAATTTTCTCGTTTTTCTTTGTGTTTCTCTTGCGTTCTTCTCTGTTTTTGTCAATTGAATCCCGCCTACAGAATAATCACTATTCTGCTCGGCGTCAGTATTCCATTTGAAATGTTAAACAATTCCACGTCGAAACTAGGAAGCAAAACTGTCAAAAGAAAGAAGCTACAAAATGGCCAGCAAATGATAGGACAGTAATAAGCCCCTATTTGATCCGGATTAAAATCTGATTTTAATTCAAGTTAAAGTCAAATAATCAATATTAACTACATCTTTTATGCGTCCCACAACTTTTCAACCACACATTTCAAAAATTTCTATCACAGTCTACAAAAAATCTAATTTTAATCCCCACTAAACACCGTCTAAATCTGATCATTCAATTTTTTAGCATTGGATCACCAACTTGTTTATTAGTTGACACAAGTAATAAACAAGTTGGTGATCCAATCGTTGAGATTATTTTTGGCGACTCCATAATGCTATTGGCGTTCACTGTAATAGCTTACTTCTTGGGTGGCTCGCATGGTGTGACGGGCCAAATTGGGTTGCCTTGATCAACAATTCAACATGCATATCGATCTACTGCCTTTTCCATAACCTTACATGTTTTTAAGTAAAGAGTAATGCTATGTCGTTTCATTGGGGTTGCAACTTCAACTTAGGTAGTGTTAGATGATGAGTTAAATGAAATGTGGAATTAAATGGATGTTGTAATTACAATAGGACTAAACAGCATTACTCATAAGTAAATGTTAGGATGGAAAAGAAATTTTCATTTTTAAACTAGACAAGCAAATTTGAATTGTTAAAGAATGTCCAAGGTAAAAAGAGAAAAATTATTTAAGAAATTTTCCCTATTTTCTCATCTCTATAAATACGTGTCAGTTTGACATTTATTACTTTATTTTATGATTTGTTATAGAATCATAAAATACCACACATTCACATGATACGATATTTTACACGTATGTCAAAAACTTTCCATACTTTTTAATTACAATTTTTTTTTAAAATTACTATTTAAAACTTTTTTTTCTACAATAATGATTGTCAAACAGGCTCTAAGGCCTAAATTGTTCGAAACCCCATAATTT